ACGTCATTTATTTTGCCCAGAAATAGTGGAAAACATTCTACAGGGTAATTCAACCATTAGGATCTCCTGAACTACAGGAGATACGTCGAAGCATAAATAGGGGCAAAGTAGCGTTTTTTATACTTGACAAAATATTGTTTTCAAACTTGAAAAATTCCGAGCATTTTCGGAAATATCCGGAATTAACTAGCGTTATTTGACAACACAGCTCTGAACCAAAAACACGTTTTCATTGATACTTTTTTCCAGCAACACGTTTTTATGTTCAGATTTACTATCCGACGTTTCGTCTTCTGGCAATCATCATCAACTTTTTTTCTATTATGGACGTCATATTTATTATATCAAAAATTACGCAGCATCTTCTTTCAAACAGTTCCACTGAGAACATAAAAACACGTAAATTTCCCCCATGGTTCGATGCCGATGTTATCAGCCATATAAAGAAAAAGGAATTAGCATACAAAAACAATAAGAAATACAAAACAGCACTTTATCAAAATCAATTCTCGAATCTGAGAAAAACTGTCAAAACTAAAATAAAAACGGCATATGGTCAATTTACAAATTTAGCTGAAAATAATAGTTTATCTGACAGCTCGACTTTCTGGTCTTTCATACACAGTAAAAAAAGTAATTCGCGTATACCGGGTATAATGAAACTTGATGATGAGGTATTTGATAAGCCTGGGGATATTGTCAATGGATTCGCCAAGTATTTCAGAAGTGTATATTTGGTTTCGGACGAGACTATACTTCGTAAAAATTCTCATTTGTCCGAATTTGTCCGATATTAAAAAGAGCGACTCTAGCGATATCACAAACTACAGGGCAATTTCAATTTCATGTAACTTTTCTAAACTCTTCGAGATATGTGTGCATGTTATGTACTCCCATAAAAGTTATTTCTCCTACTCAGCATGGTTTTTGTACATCAAAGATCATATATGACAAATTTTGCATGTTTAAATCAATATCTCAGTACGTACCTGGACAAACAGAAACAAGTCGATGTTGTTCATTCAGGCTTTTAAAGAGCCTTCGATCAAATAGAAATAGACTATTATGTTCTCCTCAGAAAATTGACAAAATTGGGACTCTCTAACCAACTGCTTACTCTAGTTGAATAATATCTAGTTAATAGAAAACAGTTCGTCGAATATGAATCTTTCAAATCGGCCCAGTACGTAGTTACAACTGGGGTACCACAATCACAGGCAATAATACAATATTTTTGACGCCTGAAGATGCTTCTGTATAGCGAAACACGTGCCACGGTTTTGTAAACTGTCGAGTGGGAATCACACATTGAAGTGTGCTTTTTTTGAATACATCTTTTTTCCTTCCTTCGAAGTACCACTCTTGAAAGTCGAAATTTGGGAGAGCTAAGGATTAACGATATCTTATTTTTTAACGTGCGATTTTCAACATATTGTATTATATTCATAGTTACAAAACAACATAGGTAATGTAGTATATTTCTTGTCTGATGCAGTTCGAAAGCAGTTTTTGATTTACCCTCGTAAATGAAATTATATAAAATAAGTACCACTACTTATATAAGTATTGAATTGAGCTGGCTGATACTTGATTAAAATCCATATTGTAAAATAGGTGTAGTATATATGAAATCAATTTGAGTGGCATTAAAACTGAATAGTTACCGAACGTCAGCAGATTCTTTGTATGGCATGTGCGGCGTGCACATGCCACCCAAATGTAAGAGGTTTCATATTGTATTAACTAGTAAATTTATCAGACCCAGTACATTAGTCTTTTATTTAGCTGTTCAGATTGACTTCGTATAGACTATACACCTACTAATACAACTTCCTCTAGCAGTAGTGCTTGAGGAAACGATTGCATAGCTAAAAACGTGTCACCGTTTTTATAAATCGTGTTTTATAGTGAAAACCTTACGGTAAACTTCAACAGTGTGTTTTGAAATATCTATATTTCGTTTATTATTTGGTCGAATTCAGATAAAACTGATAAAACACGTATAGTCAGTATGCCCACTGACTATACGTGAAAGATTTCTTTCCTTTTACGAGGAATTGGGCAAATTTGGATATGCAGTTGGTTACCTCGTTCACAGGCAGATGGAGCGACGACAAACCTGTTGTTTGTTGTAGTCTTCAGCTTAGTTCGAGGAATGATACTCTGACGGAATTCGATTTTCAATTATCGGAAATCATCGACTTTATGTTGATGATATACACTACCTTGCACTGATGAGTGGCCAAACAGCCCGAAACCGGTCTGCAAGTGTGTTCCAATAATTGAAAATCTATTGCGGCAGTTTATCGCCAACAGCATATGCAGGAATAACTTCAGTGAAGAATCCTGCACTGACACCTGTCGGATATAATCCAACGCCCTTCGTGGTATTAGCCAGGGGAGTAGTTGTTTTCTGATAGGTGTCAGTCCATTAACCTACTGTGTAGGGTGTTGAGACTGGCCTGAACGAATTGTTCTTTTAGATGATTTGATTTATAGCCAGTCTTCAAGTATGCCCACTGACTATACGTGAAAGAACTCTGGAAGAGTCCGGTCATAGATAAGTTTCTCCGGGAAGAGGAATCAACATTAATTTAAATGAATTTTACCACCAATGAAGAGTAGTTTTTCTTCCTCACATGATCACATGGACATCAACATCGGGGAATAGTATCGTTAGGAGGGTGACATTGCTTGGGGTTGTATTAGCTTTTGCATCAGTCTCTCTAGCCAATGAAGTTCAAGCTTAGATGAGGGAGGGATTTTGAGATGACTCACAGTGTTATTATCATGAGTATATAGGTACATTAGGTATGTGCTTATTTGCAATTATTATGCTAAATATGGGATGAAGTTGTTTCTCAAGTACGCATGTGCAAAACACAAATCAAAAGTTTTCACAGGTGTTGACATAGAAATTGAAGCTATTGGTGTGAGTTACTTTCCACAGTTTTGATATATTAAGGATTAAAGTACCTAATGCTTGACCCAAATACCTACAATTGACAAAATCTGAGATGACAAGTTTTAAACCTTAGTTTTCATGGTTTAAAACTAGTATATTTATGAGCAGTGACGGATCGTGCATTGAAGAACAGGGGAGGACATTTTTTGGGGTACCGCACCTATTTAAAGCAAAATACGTAATATTTGCATAAATGCAAACAAAAATTGTGTATTGCCGCGAATTATACGTTTGAAACTGACCATTAAAAAAACAAAAACAAGGAAAAAGGGTTGTCTTTGAACTCTTCTCAGTCAGTAAATAATACTTTTCTCTTCTAATATAACAGTTTTTGTTAAAAATTGCTACAAATATTTTATAAGCACAAGTACTCAATTATGCTTATAAAAACAGGTCTAAAAGTTAATTTTCTTGTCTAGCAAGAACCAACGGGGAGGTGAGAGTGGTGTTTTGCCAGGAAAGGAAAGGAAAGGATGGAGTAGGAAGGAAGGTTAAATCTGGTTTGTTTAAGTGAATTCACAAGGCACCCGTAAACTACTTTTAATCGGCGGTCATTCAAGTTCAATATAGTCTGCGAGGGTCCCGCATTTTGAAATGTGAATTGAAAGGTGTATTTTTTATTTTGGATAGGAAGGAACAAAATGAAAAAAGAAACTGAAAGTAAACATAACATTCTTTCTTAACTAAGACGATATAGCAGTTGCTATATTTTGTTTGCTAAACAATTTTAATTTACAAGACGAAAATATATGCTCCTTAGATTTAAAATGTCTTTCTGTAGAACGAGGTAAATTTTTTAAATCGGAGTATACTATTTTAGACCACGTTTGGTGATCGGTTTGTACGGAAAATAAAACACAGAGCCAACAAAAAAGTTTTTGTCGTTTAATGGAGCCGGTTAACCAATCGCATTTATCGTACCAACTAGGTAATATTAAATCCTCGATTTTGTCGATTATCTGACGCTTTAATTGAAATCAAATTTGGTTAAGGCCTTCCCAGAGTTTTAATAATGTAAAATTTATTATCGTAAGATAAATACTTAAAATTATTTGTCAACAACCAATCGACTATATCCTTAGATTTTTTAATTTCGTCCAACTTATCCATAATAAATGGAAAAAAAACTTACCGAAAAGTGGAAACCTGAAAACACGTTGAAATTGAAAGAAAACATTTCAAAAACAAATTAAAAATATTACCAAAAAGCACTGCTATAATACAATACTGCCTGTTTTATACACAAATAACAAATATTATCAAGAAACACTAAAACGATTTACCGTAATATTTTTCAGTCCTGGTCCGTCACGGCATCCCGTCCGAATAATTAAATAAAAAACAAACGCACTCGTACACTAACACAGACCAACTGGAGGCTAGCCTCCTCTAACGCTATAATTTCTGCAATTAAAATTACAAATCGGGACGTACGTCACTGGTTGGATCCGTCTCGCGGAGCTTGTGTTTTTTAAAACGGTCGGAGGCTTGGCTCCCTTGCAACGTATGGCATTTATCATTTCGGGTTGATGGTTTATTCGTTATTCGTTCATGGACGGTGCGTTTGAGGTTTGTTGATGAAGGATACAGTGTGGTACGTACTACGTGAGTGATGGTGTTTTTTCGGGCATATTATGTATTCATATTAAAAATTAATGGTAAAGTGATGATACCCAAGCATTTTTAGAAAAAATAATCATAATTATTTGTCACAATCTTTTAATTTATTGTGATGAATAGCCTGAAATTTAATGGGGAGGCTGAGCCTCCATTGCCTCCTCTGACGAGCCGCCGCTGCTTATGAGACTCGACACAAATGAACAAAAATTTTGTTTTGCCATCCGAAAAAAACAAATGTACACAGTATGAGAGTGAATTGAAGTGACGTTAGGATGGAGATATTGCTCTCGCGATCCTTCGATTTTGTTCGATAAACGCTTTCGTTCGTTCAATTTTCGAATATGGCCGCTGTGACAACCAACACGTGAGACAACCATACCCGGTCCCCCTACCACAAATATATACTTTCTCTCACCTTTTTGATCTAGTTGACTTTTCCGTACAATGATATCTGAAAAAAAATAAATAAAAATCATCAAAATTATCACGATTTCTTGTGAAATGTCATTTCCACAGATTTTCAGGATTATTAATACATTATAGTGTCTATTAGAGATTTCTTTAGAAAGCACAGTACTTTCGCCGAGCCAGTGATTCTCAGAGTGGTTTAGATGGACCCCCAGGGGTCTACGTTGGCGTGATCAAAAAATGGGGGTTCACAATTCGTAAGCAGGGTTCTAAAAAAATTTATCTGGTTTTGATAGTGAAAATCTAAAATGTTGGTTTGACCTAACCTATCAATGTAGGCAGATAATATTTGAAGAAGCTCAGCGACCGTTACAGGTAAAAACTTGCAGATTGAATAATACAGAATTGTTATTCTTAACAGAACTGAAGCCAAATATTGATACTTTGTTGTCAATCCATCAACCAGTACATCTCTAATCCGATCAATCTAGACATTGGAAGGTACATAAATTTAACACAAGCTGCATACGCGTGGAATTGTTCAAAACATAGTTAAAAATAAGATTTTAAAATTCTGAATGATTGCGATGCCTGGAAAAAAATTATTTTGAATAGCTCATCTAGACTTATGAAGAACCCCATATTTTAAGTAGCTTAGGGCCTTGTCAAGTTCAAATCCGGCCTTGAAAATGTGCAAATGATATTTCAATACTTTCTTCGGAATCAGTATTATCAAATATGATATCATTCTTATCAAATATGATAAGACTGATTATGATCTCCAGGTATGGTAGCTGGAGGTCATATTTGGTATTCACAAAAAACATCTGGACTCATGAAAGACCCCATACTGTGAATAGCTTTGGGCTTTATCAAGTCTGAATCCGGCCCTGAAAATTGGCAAATGGTGTTTCACTACTTTCTTCGAAATCACTCTTATCAAATATGATAAGACTGATTATGATCTCCAAAAATGGTAGCTGGAGGTCATATTTGACATTCACAAAAAACATCTGGACTCATGAAGGACCCCATGTTGTGAATAGCTTTGGGCTTTATCAAGTCTGAATCCGGCCCTGAAAATTGGCAAATGGTGTTTCACTACTTTCTTGGGAATCAGTCTTATCACCTTTTTGGCTATAGTAGCTGGAGATCTTATTTGACATTTACACAGAACATCTGGACTCCTAAAGGACCCCGCATGTTTTAAGTAGCTTAGGGCTTTATCAAGTTCAAGTCCGGCTCTGAAAATGTGCAAATGTTGTTTCAGTACTTTCTTAGCCACGAGTCTAATCATATAGGTGATTGTGGAGAACTTGTAACCGCTAGTTTAAAATGGAACTCAATTACTAGTATAACTGTAAAGGTATGAATAAATACACATGTAATTTGAATGATATGCAAATTGGAATTAGGACTCGAGCATAGATATTATTTTGCAGAAACATAAGAATATAATTGGTTGGTGGTCGACGAGTAGGCGAGAATGAAGATAAAATTGTTGATAATTAGATACATTTATTATAAAATAATCATTTGAAGATAGTGTGATGACCACAAAATAGCGTAGGTATCTGAAGTGAGTCAGACCAAACTATTTTTATTCGTTATCTGAAAAGGCGATTTCTCTACACTGTTTTTACTAGAAGCATGTCTCTCAGACATTATAACAAGATTCTTGACGTAGTTCGAAAAATTACAAAAACCAGAAATTTTTTAGGAAAAACTAATTGATAACCTATTCTTATAAAATATTTCCAAGTCACTTTCCGTTATTCCGGAAGTTATCAACATCTTTCTTATTTCAAATGACACGCCCAAATTTTAGTATCGAATTAGATTTTAAAATGTATCTTTCGTTTCGTTCAAAACTTTTTTATGTACGAAAAATTGTAAATATTTAAATATTTCATCTTTAGTACAAAATTTCGCTAACACTTATAATTTTTAAAATATGTTTTTTATTTTGATTTTCTTTTGAACAACCTATCAAGGAGGTTATGTGTAGCGGCATCTGCCCGCGAATAGCTCAAGCAATAATTGATAGTTACGTACAGCGCCATCTGCCCGCGAATAGATCAAGTCATATCAATGAGGTTACGTAGAGGGCCATCTGCCCGCGAATAGATCAAGCAATAATGCCGATAATTCTGTCAATACAGATCTTGAGCTTGAGAGTTACAAACGAACATACATACAAACAAACATACATAAAAATAAACATACATACATACAAACAAACATACATACATACATACATGCAGGTGAAGGTAATATAAAGCGTGTAAGAAATAATCACAACCTTGAGACATTGAAAAAAATTTCATCTGTCGATATGAAATTCTCGGTTCGATGCTAAATTCACTGTACTATTCCGCTCTCCCACTCTGCATATTGAAGTTTCGTTAACATTTTTCGAAGATATTCCGATGCTTGTTCAGTCTCTCCCCATTATTTCATCTTTACCGTCTTCGCTGATTGGGACAAATTGCTTCCTTGTAGGAAAATGTTGGCGAACGATGCAATGCCAAAGGAAAATTCTAATGAAATTATGACCGACTCGGGAAGTTGGCTTCTCCAATTAATTGATGAATTAATAACGCATGCCGAGTCTCTCAGCACGAACTTTTTATTGGATTGATTATTTTCAGCGGGTGTTTCATAACTCTTTAACGTTCTTCATTGGTCATTGTGCTTATGTAATTGGTTCGATTATTGCGGCTTTTATTTTCATTGCAGGAAGTCGACGGGTAATTGATGTTTATCCGATGTCTTGCGGTGAAATGGTATATAGCGCGGCAATGGGCTTGTTCCATGCTTCTGTTAATGAGACTGGTCTTATGAGGAAGTGACGTTGAGTTTATTATAATATTCTGGTGATGATGCTAGGTGTAAGAGAGATAGATAGATAAACTTCGTTATGTTGTAAAACTAGGTACACGCATGTACAGAGTGGGCCGAATTGGATACTTTTGAAGGGAAACTTCTGTTTTCAAACTAAACAGATGAAAACTGATGGCTGTATAATAATAATAATAATAATAATCGTCCAATCGCTTTCCGAATCGGAAGGCCTTGCGGTTCGGAAGATTGAACGGCGTGTACACAAGATGGAGGCTAAGATCACGTCGGCGAGACGACACGCGTCTCGTATCCAATGTGTGATGGAATACAGGGCGGCCAACAGGCCTTTCACGCCCGCAGTGCGGCAAATAGCCGCCAATCTACGACGTATCCATCACCACCAAACAGCACTGCAAACAGCACGAATGCTAGTGGCTGCTAAGAAGTCAATAGTGAGGCGAGCGAGGAGTATCGCGGAAAACCTTAGGTTCCGCGAGAAACCTTNTTTGGAGTAGTGAAGTGGACTCGGGAGGAGCTGTATCAACTCGACGTAAGGACCCGAAAAATGATGCATCTCTATAGGAGTTTGCATCCCAAATCGTCCGTTCCACGGTTGTACTTCCCCCGACAACAGGGAGGTCGTGGACTTTTGAGTTTGGAGTGTCTACATGACAGAATGGTACTGGATACAGCCTGTAAAGTCGTCAGGAGTTCGGATCCCCTTCTCTGCATGGTCCGTGACCATGAGAGAGCAAGAATTGGAGATTTTCTCCTTAGGGCAGCTGCGTGAGTAGCTGATGAACTCGGTATAGTTTTCGACTCTGAAAGAGGTGATTACAACTCTGTCACCGAGTTGGAACCCGTTCAGCAAAAAGCTCAGATATAAGCCGCAGAGATCACCTTACTTCTGCGGAGACACAAGGATAAGCCAATGCTTCAATAACATTGGATACGTTCGCTTATCAAAGCGCCTGACGTTCGCTTTTCTCAGGTCGAGTGTGCTGAAGTCGGAAAATGAAAATGGAACTATTCGTTTCCCACCCTCAGGCTCTTACAAGCTAATACGCCTGATTTAGTCCTTCTTGACCACCAGAGCAAAACGATATTTGTCGTGGAATTTTCAGCTCCTGGCGAGACGAATATCGTCAGAAAAAGGAAGAAAAACGGATGAAATATCGAGATTTCCTCTTGGAACTCCGCAGACTCTATCCATATCACTCTGTCAAGATGGTTGTTCTGATTATTAGAGTCCTTTATGGAATGATGTCCTCTCTACTCTCGAATCATAAAATCATACCGGTCTGCCGCACTAAGGCAGAAATCTTAACCGGACAGTTGTAGAAGGCTGTCATTCTTGGCTCACTGCGCTTGCTCAGGGCATATGATTCCCGGACCCAATGATCACTTACCCTACGTTGTGGAGAGTGGTCATTGGTTGATAACGCTTGCGCGCCCTTCCGAATGTATCGGGGCTTCGGGGGATAGAGCCTGACCTACCCCCGGATAATACAAAAAAAAACAATACAAAGATACATTTGAAAATGAAAATGAGTTACAGGAGATTCTGGTACTCATTGGCGAAGTCTTGCTCAAAGCTACTTTAACTCAACCAACAAGCACCACTCCATAATGCACGCGAACATACAGTAATAAAGAGACAATTAACAGTGATGGTAGATGCCACGAAATGATAAACATAAATAAAAATAATAATTTGTGTTTACCCTCTGAAGAAAGTTGACAAATAATTAAATTTAATTGATCTGTTGTTTATTAATTTGTTCAATGAGCAAAAGTTGTCATTACTGACTATCATAGATAGAATTTTTATAGATACTTGTATTTGAATTTCCTGATATTGAATCTCTTCAATTGCTTGGGCAATGAATTATAGAGTTTTACAGCACCAAAAAGAAATGATCCCTGAAACTGTGCAGTGCGATGTTGTGGCATAGTTAATTTGTTTTTATGTCTAATGTTTCTTGAGTGAATAAATTCACGTAGAATAAGTTTTTGTATTGAAAGGGGAGAATGGGGAAGGGTGATCAATTTATGAACAAAACAACCTAAATGATGAATCATACGGTTTTTCATATTGAGCCAGCGGGAGTGTTTAAAGGCTTCAGAAATTGAATCATACTTACGAAGTCCATAAATTAGGCGGCAACAAGAATTTTGCACTTTTTGTATTCTATTTTT